CGTCAAAAACAGACCAGTTTTCAGGGAGGTTCCAAAAATTTTCAATGGCTGTCGTATTTTCTTTCGCTCTGTGCATTTTTCCAGCTACTGCTCCGATTTGCGTTATTTTTACTAATTTTCGTTCCTTTTCATGATAATTTATTTACTGCTATCCCACTTAGCGGTCAAGTGTCTTCCTCTCCACCCTCTGCCTTTGATCTTTGCTTGGTCCACGATGCCATTCCATTTTCCTAAGTGTCTCCCCGTTGCACTTTTAAGCCCAGTTTATTTTATTACTCTCTGGTCTTTCCGTGAACGTGGACTAGACGCATGCAACGCCAGTGTTGACCTCTTCAAAAAAGTGGGCAGTTGACTTTGCTTAAAAATCAATTCATTGCCACCTCCCGTCTGGTTTTTAATGCTCTCATCGTGTTGTTGAACTATGCGAGTCGCTTGTGTGTGCATGTGCGCTTTCCGTATTTTTAGTATTTGACGAATAAGTTGTACTTCACACACAACTCTGGCCCTTGCAGTGGCCCGGCTAAGAATATCTCGTCAAAATTTACTCTTCCAAAGATCTTTTAAGCCAAGCCGAGGAGTCGCGGTTTCGGTATAGGATGCAGACGAACCGAATTAGCCTAGGCCATCTGTAAGATTAGAGGTCGCATTCTCTGTGACGCCTATCCTGTTAGATGGAGGGAAAAGGAAGTGACAGAGACACACATCGGATAGTCCCAATGGTTTAGTCTGCCCATAGGGGAATCTTACTGGAATGTATTGGATAAGACCGCGTAGAATCACGGTTGAAAGTTGAGTGCCAGGGTGGGATGGGATAAGAATAGCTACCGGGTTCATTGATGTACTTGGGTGGAGCCACTAGTTCTCCGTTGTGAAACGATCAAACAACCGCCTCAATGAACCTCTGGAGGCCCGCTCGTATCATTTCGTACAATATGTTATACTTCGGCCGCTGCAAAAGACAGAGTCTACCACTGTCCCCCACGACGTGGTCCTAGCAGTGACTGGTGAGCAAGTTTGTTCACACGGAGGCAGACTTGCATTGCATCCACCCCATCCTCCTCCTTCCGTATCCTCGGCGTTGCGATGACGCAACTTAGTCAAAACAACCTGCGGTAGACGTGGACACGGTAGATGACAAACCTAAATATCCTGTCTACGCATGCCACGCTCGACCTTAAGCTCAACTGCACACACGCCAGGCTTCGTTCAGGAGCCTCGGGCCTCTCCCAAATTATACAGCCGGAAAAATTACGTTAAGAGAGGGAAAGGAAGCCTCCATCACCACTTGACCTACCTTCTTGGTGACCCGAACTACTGCGCTCGCACCATTATCCCTGTGTTGTTGAAGTTGAATTCATGACTTGCTTCCAGGATATAGGTGGCGATGGGTGACAGAGCGCGTCCCCTGTGCGCAGTCTTTTTTGCTTGCGCATTGTTTAGCTCAACCTTCTTCCGGTCTGACGGATGTAAATAAAAGGACAATTACGGCATTTAATGCGATAAACGATAATATGTTGCTTGCTCGCGATCAGTTGGTTTTGGGTCCCTTTTGCACTTGTGTATACAGGAGCTTCTGGGTAAGTGGTGACGTCAGCATCGGACTCTGCACTAATACATTCTTTGATTCGAGACATTGCGGATATATGATAGTGAGTTTCATACCCTTGGTGAGAATATCACATTTGTCCTCGGCGAGTTAACGCGGAAACAGTGGACTATGAAGGCTTGAGGGTATCCGTCCTTCTAGAACTACCCAAGTAGATAGCAGATTTCTTGTGCCTGTTTCTCTGGTTGATGTAGTGTGATTTCCTCCTTCAGACGACAGGTGGAGCTCAGGAGAGTTTATACGTGATCGGGTGGGTGTCCTGATAGTTTGCGCTTATGTCATGTTGGTGGCCTTCATGTAGACTTGGATACAAGGACATACGGATCAAGGACCAAGTGAACAGAGGTGAACCCTCCGGTGTTGTTTATTCGAGGGTGGGCACGTCGTCTATCTCCGTAACTCCTGTCGTGCTCCCTGTCGGGAGTTAGTCTTTGGTTTGTGGGGGTCATCGCTCGCCTCCGCAGTGACTGCCCTGGGCCGTTGCGTACATTCGCATCCTGCTGATTGTTCTTACCTTTCCTGCGTGAGAAATGGTTACTACGTCAGTGTTGACGGCTGCGTCTGCTAGTTGGGTTTCGTGTTCGGCTTAGACTGCCCTTTGCTTGTGTCCGCGCTTGGCTTGGGTTTCTGCTTTCGCCGAACTGAGTCGCAAGAATGTAGTGGCCTCAGAAAGAGCAACACAATGACTACTGGAGCTTGCCCCGTACTTCAAGCTCCGATTGTTTCCTGGACAATTCGGTCATTCCCCCGACCCAGGAGGAGTTTGGCAAGCGTGTGTGTGCCCAGAGTTTGCGCAGTGCTTCATCATTAGATACAGTGTGTGCATCATCCTCATCACACTGATATGTCCTCTTATGTGTGCTTGAAGTTATTTGCCAATCTGGCCTCTCGGCTTAGCTTCTCAGAAGATACGTTAGATTCGGCAGACGATACTCACTGTCTTGTGCCATAGTACAGGGGTCGTCGGTCATATGATCAGGTACTAAGTTGTTGTCTCTGGTCTCTGGCCCATAACGATCCTCAATGGCCTTTCTAATGTATGTAAGAAGTTACTATAATTTTCGGTTTGGTGTTCTCTCATTGAAATTTGGCTTGTTTTCGACTGCTTGCGTCCCACGACGAAGCTATGCGCAAGTATCTGCTTGTTATAATGAAAAGCCGGATTTGACGGAGCTCAGACATATTGTTTGCAGCCAGCTGCGGTGTGCTTTTGCCTTTTTGTAGGGAACTATACGCAGCGGCGTTAGTAGCATGACCGATACTTGCTGTGGTAACGTGGTATTTTAAGTTTTATAAGTGCTTTTTAGGTTTTCGATGGACGGGAATGTCCATAAACGGTAGTTTGTCGTTGGTGACCGCCTCCATTGCGAACTAGGTGCCCCGAAAACGGAATTCTTGGGCCATTTCTCATTTGACGATGAAAAATGCAGTGTCGACATACCGGGTTCACAATTTTGACCTGCGATTTTCGAAAATTCGTTTCTGGGCTTTTAGGATAACTGGCTATAATAAAAATCCGAGAGGCTGCGATTCCATTGCCATTCCCTGACCTGCCCGTGCATGGTCCTTTCAAATGTGAAGTACCTCTTGTGGCTGAACCTAGGGCAAGATGTCTCCGCTTCACCGTCTCGCATTCTCGTCACACCGGTTCTCGAGCAGTTCGTTGAGCGTTTATACTACCGGTTCCTGTGGGATCGAACTGAAGCTAGAAGTGATGTCAACTGACACCATGACCTGATTGTCCTCTCCTGGAGTCATTTCGCGGACTTATTAGCTTTACCGACCGTAACACTTACGTCCGAGCTGATAAGATTCAGGTGTCGCAGTTATCATTGAGCTAGGTCGAAGACTGGTGTGCTGCGTGCGGCAGCTAATGTGTTGGGTGTGCCTCAACCCCTCAAAAATCGTCAGGCCAAGTTTCGACCAGCGCGTGATGACATACATCAAAATGATCGAGTTATTTTGTACAAACTTCTTGGCTGCAGTCTCAGGCAGGGCAGCCTGTGCTGGTAGTGTAAGCCAAAATGTGTGTGAGGGAGCTAGGGTGAGTCTGCTCGCTCTGGCAGCCTAAAATGCTCGTTCCCTGCTAGACAATCCGGGGAGCAACCGGCTTGAACGGGGATGACATTAGCCTCTCGAGAACTAGCACGCTCCGAGGTGGACATCGTTGCTCTCGGCAAGACCCGTTTCCACAGACAAGGTCAACTGAAGTAGGTGGGTGCCGACCATACCTTCTCTTGGAGCAGCCGCTCAAAGGCAAAGTGACGTGACGCTGGCGTCACCTTTGCCTTCCGAAACGACATAGTGGGACGACTGTCCTGTCTGCCTCAGGGCATCAACGACCGTCTTGCTGCGCCCGTCTCTTCGAGGAACCAAATTCGCCAACATCGTCAGTATCTACGCACCCTCCAATGGCAATTTCGACGAAATCAAAAACAAATTCTACGAAAACCTACACGCTTTCCTGCTGTCCTTGGGGACTTCACGCCCGAGTCAGCACACATCATGCTGTCTAGATGGAGGTGCTGGATCTCCGCGGAATCGGCGGCTGCGAAAAAACGGTCTTCTTCTCCTAAAAAAACTGAACAGAACACCGTCTCCTTTCCCTGACTAACACCGTCTTTGACCTTCGGATGCGGCAGAAGGCAGCCTGGATGCGCCCACGATCGCAGCGTTGACAGCTGCTACAATAGTTCTCGTCTGGAGGCGAGATCGACAGAAAGTCCTGGTGAACAAGGCGATCTGAGACGCCGATGGCTGGACGGATCATCGCCTCTTCATCTCTACGATGAGGATCCTGTTTCAATCCCGCAGGAGACCATAACGTGGGCGACCACCGGGTAATGTAAATAATGTTCAGTTAACTTTGTCTGCTCGCTGCCTATATTTCTGCAATCAATTAGCCCAGCCATTGGAAATCTGTCGGCGCCGAACGACAACACCATCGCGGAGACTCGATTGTGTCAACCGCGAAATACTATTCAAGAAAATGTGGCGCCACGGATAAGTTCCTCAGAAGTTCAGCGACGCGACAGTCGTCTATTTCTGCAAGCGGAAATGGAAACGACAACTGTATGACAACCACAGTGGAATCTCACTGCTAAACATCCATGGAACGATCTTTGCTCGGATTCTCTTCAACCATCTCGAACAAGGACTTCTTACGGAAAGCCAGTGTAGCCCCCACCGTCATCGTCGCGGAACTACCGACGTGAACTTCGCCGTCCGTCAGCTGCAAGAGAAATGCCACGAAATGCAGACCCACCTCTACACTACCTTAGTGGACCTGACGAAAGCCTTCGACACAGTGAATCCTGAAGGACTGTGGAAAATAATCCAAACATTCGGCTGTCCTAAGAGATTTACGCACATTGTGCGTCAACTTCATAGTGGGATGATGACGCGCGGTACGGGCAACAGAACCGCCTCAGAAGCATTTTCGGCAAATAACGGAGTGAAACAGGGCTGCGTCCTCGCCCACACTTTCTTTGGCCTCATGTCTTCTGCCATGGTGATAGATGCCTATCTAGATGGGCGCCCCGAGAACCGCCTCGCATGCGGGACCGATATCCAACTTCTCCATGGCTTGCGCATGCAGGCCTCAACGCGCCTCTCTACGACTTCTATCCATGACCTGCTTTTCACCGACGACTACGCACTCAACACCGTTGCAGACGCTGACATGCAACGGAGCATGAACCTCTTCACCTCCAGCTGCGTGAATTTCGGACAAAACGACTTCATGCACCAACTGCACCCAATGCTCCATACAGGGCTTCTCGCATCCACGTCAACGGCACCCAACTGAAGACCGTGGAGAACGTTGCCTACTTAGACAGCACACTTTCACGTTGCTTCGGAATCGACGACAAAATGGCGCACCGGAGCTCCAAACCAGCCAAGCCTTTTTGTGGAACCGTCACGGCCTGTAGCTGAATATCAAACTGAATATGTACAAGACCGTCTTCCTGACGACACTTCTTAACGAAGCGAAACCTGGACTATCTTGACGACACTGCTGTATAGGGAGGA